CTTTGCACGTGTGTGCATATGTAAATGTACATATACATATACTTTCACATACACATACACATATACAATCATATACATATACATACACATACACATACACATACACATACATACATACATACATACATACATACAGACATATTTTCACGCACACGCATGCATGTGTTTTTGTATCGGAGAAGCCCTACAACCTAGACCAGCCCCCCCTCTGCACACTAAGTATCTAAGGCGGGGTTTCTTGATGTTTCTTGCCTCTGCAGGTGACTGAGAGCGTCATCCGAGAGGTCAGCGCCCTGTGTGGGATAAGGATAAGGTTGAAAAAGACAGGCGCATCGATGTTCATGAGTTCTGTCTCGTTTTAATCGGGTTCACGAATGCCACAAGCCAGCCGGAACAGCTAGTAATCTTTTGCCAACTCGAAGACCCCTTCATAGCGTTTTTCAGGCTTGAGTAGGGCATCGTATCCGAGCCGGCTGCTTCACCAGCTAAACGGTGATCGGCCCAGGCCGTGGCAGCCGAAAGGTTGAATATCGATGTTGTCCGACAAAGCTAGAAGCCCACTCTGCTCAGCTCAGCATCGGATTTCGGATCCACTGCCGAGGTTTTCAGCTCTTGCGATGAGATCGTGAAGGTGAGCTTCAAGCCAACGCCCTCAGCTCTAAGAGACGTTGACGATATCAATCTCCTTCGAATGGAGCTCTGGGTTGGTGATGTTGCAGACAACTGTGGAAGGGCCCTGGATCCCAGAGGAGGCAAAGCGTGGCTTTCATTCAGCCTCGGCACCTTGGTGAGACACAGAGTCTGGCTCCTTGCTGTCCGAGGCCTTACCCCAACAATGAGACCCAGTTCTTTGCACAGGTCGATTTCAAGCCCGTCCCTCAGTGCAAGCTCGCCTGTGCAAGCGTAGCCTGGGCTCCTCCGATTGCCAAAACGGCCTTCTCACAGTGCCAGCTTTGTACGACGGCAGCTCGCTCTGCAGACCGGTGGCTTTCTTGTAGGTGGTCCGTTCTTGTCCTGTTCATCCCTCCATGCCTGTTTCGTCTCCATCCGTCCAGTCATGTTTCTGTCTCTGTCTAGAGTCTAGTTTGTCATCTGTTTGTCCGGCTCTCTGTCTCTGTCGGTCTCTCTTCATCTGACAGGCTACTTTTCCAACGATGTGCCGACATATCCGCGAGTGTAGCTCCCTTTCCATTTGTCTTCGAGACGCACCCTCTCGTCGTGGAGCCTCAGTGGCTCAGTTGACAGCCCAGCAATGCTGTTGGGAGCTGCTGCACTCACCCATAATCCGACGCATCCTTGCCCAAGCATCTCGTGCCAGGCTTTTCCTTAAACTACAGTTCTATGGCATCAAAATCCCAACCCTTCCTTCGAAAAGCCCACACCCGAGGACCTCAATGGGAGTCTCTGAAGGCTCCAAGCTCACAGGTACGAAAATCCTGGGTCGCGGGCTTACACTGACTTACAACTTCCAGATTTCTCCCTTAGCCGAAGCCCCCGGGGAGCAGTTTTCAGAGTTTTCGCATTCTCGGGATTCTAGGATCCTGTCGCTGTCATTTCGCGCCGATCCAAGCCAAATAAATTGGAAGAGCGGGTAGAGCGGATTGTATGATACGATATGCTTGCCAGAAGAGTCACAGTGTTAAGCCGGAATAGCCACAGTGTAAAGCGGGCTGTTTGGCCCATGCATGCGCACTGTGCACCTGGCACGCTTGCAAGTGTGAACCAATGGCATCCATGAGAAAACATGCAATCCTGATTCCTTGGATTGAGCCGCCACTCAGGCTGTGCGTGCAGCTGCAGCGTGATCGATCCGATCCGCCAGGCATTGAACTTCTGCGCAGTTGTGCTCAGCTGTCCGCTCGTAGCGTATCATACAGGGAGAGGCTGGCCATGCCGAGCATTGCCTGACATTGTCCGGGCTCTTTTGCTTTTCGCGCTCTCCTCACGCTCGCTTTCGCTCGCGCTCTCTCGCTCGAATGCATGGATTGGTATGCCTGTACACCCATGCCTTCGCACATTTCATCCAGGCATACACCTGAAGGGGGATGGGAGGAATTTACGCACTTCCTTCACTCCAGCTCCACTCAAAGCTGCCGAGGATATCCGATGCTCTGTGCGGCACCCTGCATGTGACAGGCCGACCAGGCACGTCAGGCATTGGCTGCTGGCGATGTGCAGCGCGATCCCCGGGCTCCAGGGGTGCTTTGCTTAGAGTCTTGAGAGGGAATTGAAAGGAATTCGGAACTGCAGGAAGCCGAGACAACACGACATGCGAATCGAATTGCTCTCTCTTCCTCTCTGCATCTGTGCTTAAGTCCACCTGTCTCTCTGTCTCTCCGCTGTGTTTTTGTGATGTGTTTTCGTCTGTATGACATTCGTCATAGAGCTTTCCAGGCAAGCTGACCAAAGCTTCAGTCGAGAGGGGCAACAGAGCCCGTAGCGGCGGCAAGTGAAGACACAGCACAATGCACCGCAGGCAGAACTTTCTCAATGGTGCCCCTGGCTACATTCACGGGATGTCACGCCTGCCAAGGCTCTCGCAAGAAGCGAAGCCAACATCGGGGTCCCCTCCATGTAGGAAGTCTGTTTCGTTCACTGAGAGCCTTCGGGGATCTTCGGGGTGTCAACCCCGAGAGGCTGGGGCTGTGCGCTTCTCCGTGCGTCGCAAGTTTGGCTCAGCGCTGCCAGCCACAAAAACATGTCGGCAAGATCGCACAAAGCACCAAGCAAGCCTCAAGAAGTGGACCAGTAGTGGACAGTCACGAACGATCCGCAGAGTCGAAAGGGTCGGAGTTGCACTCTGAGTCTTTGAGTCTCTGTGCCGGTTTCGCGCTCGGCGCTTCAGAGGCAGGGAGCGCCCGATGCATCTAGAAATGCGCATCTGCAACGATCTGCACCGCAAATGGGATGCATGACATGGGCTCTTTGGGGACAACTCCAAGTTGGGGTTCCCTTGAGGGTCGATGCCTTAAGTTCTCGAAAAGCCGCTGACCACAGCTACACCAATGGCCCCTCGACTCCAGCGCAACCATGCGATGTCATGGCTGTGTCACCATAAGCTTCATGACGAGTGGCATCATTAACGCTCAACGCCCTATCGAATTTGAGGCATGACATACCCCGGTAGTTCAGCAAAACCGCAGGGCAGGGAAGGAGGTCCTCGTGTTTTAGTCTACTGCTAGAATGGAGGGCTCGTGAATGGCAAGGGCGGTCGCCTACAGCGAACTTGGGTTCAGAGCCCGCACTCGATGTGTTCAGATGCCGCTGTTCCCAGCCAAGTCCCAAAGTGCCGCAGCTTTTTCGGACCAAGCGGCCACCTGCGAAGCAGAGGTCGATTAGGTTGGTCCTTCAGCCCGCGCGCGTGCGGGAGCAGGGTCGCATTGAGAAAGGTTTCAAGTTCGGATAGGCACCCCTTTCCTTTCGCGGGTCAGACGTTTTCGTGCTACCGGAGACCACTAGCGACCACCATGCCATCTAGGCCCCAGCCATAGTCTATCTCATGCCAAGGGCGCCAATGCAGGCAATGTTTTCGTTTTGATGCGCCCTAGGCTAAGTCACATGTAGCAATGGTGTTGATGCGGTTTCAGTCGGCCACGCGTGTGGAGCAGGCCCGAGCTGCTCAGGGAATACCACGAATCAATTCGGAAGGATGGTCGTTGCAACTTCCAAGTGCTGGTTGGTGGTTTGGTGGTTTTTGCCCACTCATGCTGGGTCACATTCTGTGCTAGCCAGTGCCGTTTTCGACAGGCGTACGCTTCGTAATCTCAGAACCACTAGTTGTGACAAAGCACATGCGCAAGCATGCGAACCAGCTCACTTGAGTTGACGCACCGGTCTTCCGGATGATCCTGAGCTTCCGGAGTGCACAGACTGTTGCTTCGGACATGTCAACATTAACGAAGTTTGAGTAGCAATACATGGGAAGCAGGCAGACACACAGATCAAGATCGGATGGGCTTAATTAGCGCCTTCCTCCCGCAAATGACCTGATGGTGCGTCAGAACCACAGAGCACGACTTGTTGCAGGCGGTGCATCGTCAAGGCCTTTTCCGCGCCGCCACTGGCCGCCAGCTGCTTCAGGAGAGTGCTTACCTTTCATGTCGTGAGGGCTTTACGCCAAGCTGTGCCGAGGCAACTTTTCACATGCAGTACACGCCTTTGAGTACAGTGGGCGGTCTGAGTGCCTGTGTTTGCCATGCCGATTCTTTACTCGGACTGGGTGCCTCTCGGTTTAGAATGATTTGGACATTTTTGGCCGCAGCAGAAGTTAACTTCACATATCTGTCGAAGCAATAGTCGTCTTGAGGCCCCCTCGTTTCTGTTGCCACTCTTTCCGTCCAAACTTCATTTGGTTTCCGCGCTTATGTTGAGAATAATTACAGTGGGCACTGCGGCGGCGCAGCTTCATCTGCACCAGCCAACAACCGAACACATCCGGAGCTCCAAACCAGGGGGAGGTGCACAAAGGACGAAAGAGGGCGAGGTTCAAGTTTCCAGCTGCAAATCGTCCTTCAGGACCTCATCAATCCAGAATGGACTACCGACGTGTACAAAACGCTGCCGAAGGTGGAGATGGTTTCAGTTGGCTTCTATAGGCCCTGGTCATCCTGCTTCCGGGCCTTCTTACTAACCTCGGGAACAAAGGTTGGCTAGGGCCAAACCCTCGAAGCATGGCCGGGTCATCGAGAAGGTTTTGGAACATCCAGAGGGCTGTTGGAATCGTGCATTGCAGACTCTAGCTTCCGCGTCGGAATACATGTTGGTCTTCCGAAGGTGTTGCTCTCGTTGATAGCTTCTGGAAGTACGCATGTTGCTACAGCATATGCGGATGTCAGATGACAGTATATTCGGTAGATGACAACGACGTACAACGACGGATGGGCTTCCGTGTGGTGTGTGTGTGTGTGCGTACATATATATATATATGTATGTATGTACGTACGTAGGTATGTATGTATGTATGTATGCATGTCTTGATGCGGAGAGAGCATGGTCACCAGGTCAGCCACGTAGACGTCTTTGTTTCTCACTCTTGGAGCTCCTCCCCGTTCTTGCGGCTTGGCAGATAGAAGCAAGGGTCTCTGCAACGAAGCGGAGACTTAGGCAAAAGTCTAGGGCCCGGCATTTTCCTGGGGGGTGTCTCATGGTATCTCTCTAGATTCAAGACGTCACCGGTGTTCCTAGGAAGGGTTCAATTTGTGCTCTCGGACCCTTTTTGCGTGTTCCTAAGGGCGCTCAAGAGGATTTCACCTGAGATCGATTTTGGCTGGCTTGCGTTTCTAAATGAAGCCTACTATGCTGGGGCCACGAGGGATTTAAGACGTTACAATATGGGGCACAGGAATTTAGCACGTCATGGGTTGGGAAGAGTGCTTGACGAAATGTGTCTCATACATGTTCTTCGTGCGAAGATTGGTCGATTCACGTACCCTTTGGATTGCAACTGGCACTAGGTATTCACAAACATGGTTGAAATCCAGGCAAAGTCCTACAGCGGAGCGGTACCTTTCTAAGACCCCGAAAACCGCTAAATCCGCCAAGAGTCGCCCTGAACCTCCAACAAGCCTCTTTTTCTTCACCGCACCTGCCTCTTTTTGATCCTCGGCCATGCAGGCTTGCTGAGAGTGTCTAAGCATTCCGATCTTAAGTCATGCAGGAGCAGGGAAGTAAGTTGGCGATCACAGATTGAGGCACCCCAGCAATAGATCACATGTCAAGAGCACATTTTCAGGTTCTCATCTTACTGGTGTCCCTCCCTCATCCGGCTCACCTGCTTGCGCTTGCTTTTCCGAGCCATAGTGCCCTTGCGAGCGCCCAGGAAAACATTGGCCCTCTGCTTGTTCATGAATATGTGGATGGCAGTGAAGGCCGCAGCACCGGAGTACAGTTCCCTATGTGCCATCCCGCAAGCTGTGCAGCTCCGTGGAAGACCGTTCGCAGTGACATCTAGCAGGTTGGTAAAGCCTGTGAAAACATGAATTGAAGCAGGCATCCACGCACCTTATGCCGAGATAGTAAGTGTTTGCATGGAACCTACGTATTTGTGCCAAAGCTATGTTATGCTCGATCCCATTCGGTATGCAGGGATTTCTCTCCAGATGCTCCGAACACCCTTGGTTCGCATGTCAGTGGCCCGCGTTTCACACGCCCTTCATGCCAGAGGAACGAGTCAGGAGGATTCAGCAAACCGCCGAGATGCACGGCCGGACTTCAACAGCTGACTTGGTGGTTTTCGGGTTCGGGGTTCGTTGATCCTGCCTGTATGAGACTGTGAGGCTGCCGTAGCCACCTGGATTGGCCTGAGCATCTCGCCAGCAGCTGGAAAGCATGGTGCAACTTGGGAAGTGCCAGGAGCCTCTTGTTGGGCCAAAGGCCCTTTCTCGCGGTAGTGGGACTTTGGCCTGAAACGACAGTTCAATGACTTCAGCTTAAGGGGCGTTGAAAGCACAGCTTGCTTCATCGGACGCCGTGCACCCGGTTGTCTTCGAGGAACTTGAGTCCCAAGCATCACTGTCACCACTTCCCAGCCCTCGGACATGTACGTAAATGGCGGCTGCTTTCTGAGTTCCCAACAACATTGAGCACTGCCGAACAGAAACTATGCCTCAACTTACCTTACTTGCATCGCGTGTTGTTGCTGTCTTCTTTAAGCGAGTTCTACCTACAAACGACTAATTGCTACGATGTGAACTCTCCCGCGGAGCACACGGAGGCTTTGCGCTGGTCGTCTCAACGGGGGGGCCTTACAGCCTTGGAGGCCGTCTCAATGATCTGCGAGTTTCTTCGAGGTCTTTTGGAGGTTTTTGGGCCTTGAGGGCTTCAGGAGTTTGAGGCATCGGCAGGGTTTGAAGCAGTCCATGCTTCATCAAGCAGCTGACGGTTGTTGGTTCCACCTACCTGGAACGAGCACCAGCAGTGAACCGGTACATCAATCGAGGACATGCCATGTCTATTCTGAAAGCTTTCAAACTTCCGGACGGATGATACAGAACAGCAACAACAGACTACCACGTGAGCTGCTTCCTAACATGCCTTACATTTCCTCGTGGACTCAAACTTACCCGAACCCAAGCCCAAAACCAAAAATGGTGTCAGAGGTACTGACATGCTCTGGCTCACAGCGGTGTTGGTGTACCTGCCGGTGGCTGTGTTCGTGACAGTCCTGCTGCGCCTTGGCGATGCCCAAAGCGGGCCCAGTCCATCCGCTGTACTGCTTTAGGTCCTTTTAGGTGTCCAGCTCCTCGTATCCTGGGCCACTGAGTTCGGTGTACCGCCTGCTGCTTTGTCGAGTGCCAAGGGAAGCCGAAACACTGGGATCCGGCAACGAAACTCATCTGCCGAGGTTTGGGCAGACGATCACCTGCGGGAGGTTCTCTCCTTCCTTTTGGTTTGATCGCCTTTGTGTCCAGCAAAGCCACGAGGACACCGAGGGAACCAGGATGTTTGGCTTTCAGAAGCTTCGCTGGTGTCAAGCCAAAAGCTGAGGCTGCGTGAGACAACAAAGGCCGAGCCCCTTGCGCCTGCGAGCTAGCACGAAGTCCAACTCGTGCCTCTATCCACAGCTAAGCTGCCTAGCTTCCGAAATATGCAAAGTGCATTTAGCCCGCCGAAAGACAGGCCTCCAACTCCAGTTAGCTACTGCTCCTGTGCCAGAGCTAGCAGTTAGCACTTGTGCGCAGCAGGTTTCGTGGATGACCTGTGCATGTGTTCGTGAATGACCCCTGCAAACATTTCAAGACGTGCATTGCACGTTCATCCTGTCAATGTCTGTCGTAGCAAAGCCGGCCTTGCAGCCCAACATGCAGGAAGTGAAGAGGACGACCATCGCTGCATTGTCATGCTTGCGCGCTTGAATATCCTGCGATAAGATTGATTGAAAGCTTTGAGATATCGCTCGTTGCCGTTTGCACTCATCCCTCGCCCTGAGCTCAGTTCTTGCAACATCCACGCTTGGTGAGTGTGCCAAAGATGTTGTGTTTGGAATGCACAGCTGCTCCTGCGGCCAACGTCTGGGCATCCGCACAAAGAAACGCACCACAAAATCGAACTTGTGCAAAGGCAACCAAGCAGTGCAACCCTTGCGCCATTGCATATATACACGCTGCCTAGTTTACAGGGTCCTCATTTCGATCAGAACGTGGTGGCATCATAACCTCGAGCACCGATTTTTGTCGCGATGCCAACAGTCACCATCTCATCTCAGAGTCGGAACCTGTAGGTCAGAACTCTGTTGGAAGGGATCCCTGGTCTTGGAACGTTGACATTCTTGGCCACGCGACAGGCCTGTTTTCGTGGCAAGCTCCAGTCGGATGCTCGTCCTCGGAGACGATACTTACTTCGAACGGTGCCGCAAGCTTGTTTGGAGGTGTAGGCGTCATGGTTAGGCTGCCTAGTCAGGCTTGTGTAGATCCTGCTTCAGGGATGGAGGCACAGGTGGCAGCGATTCCCAAGACGCAGTGATCAAGACAAGCAGCTCCAAAATGCTCGCAGTGCCAGCTAACCCTAAACCCTAAATAGCCAGCTGGTGTGCTACGAAGCGCGCATGAGAATTCGACAGAGCCCATCGCAGCGCAGCGTCTTTGCAGGACTTCAGCCTCCTTTGAGCCTTTCGGTTCGATTTCCAAACTCTCTTAGCCCGAATCAAAACACAAGTGAACCCAACACGAGGGAACTGAGAACCCTGAAGCTCCAAACCCTTGCTCCTGAAGGCTCTGGTGCAACCTGGAGCTCGCGATTTTCGCTAAGTGTTCCTCCGACCCCGGCGCAGTGCAGCATTTTGGCCGAGATTCTCTGGATGCTTCAGGTTTGCAGGTTTGGATCTTGAGCTTCTTGGGTTTCGGGTTTGGGGATCAGCAAGTGTCCGGCTTTCGAGGGCTGTACACTCCGACACCGACCAGTCGTAGCCCTTGGTTACAAGTCGACTGCCTGCTGCACGGGCTTGGAGATGTTGCTGCCGCCATGGCTTTGCCGATGCCGGCAGCTGTTGTCACTGCAGTCGGTATGGCAGTAGTGGCGGAAGTCCCACAAAAGCTGAAACTTGTACAGTGTGGTCCAGGAGGATGCCTGCTTGCATGTTCGCTCTCGACGTGCAAGGTACATGCCTCTGTGGTTGGCCCCATGGATATTGTCAACAATCTTCATGGCAGCTCCGCAGCAGCCCAGCACCTTACCAATGTCACACAGCCGTCGAAACCACAGCTACTGCAACACCATCGTCATTCATAGTCTCCGTGGTGGTCACCACTACGCACTGCCTGCACTTCTTCATCATCGTCATCACAGTCTTATCTCTCTCTCTCGGTCGCAGCGTCTCGAGAAACGCAATGCGAGGCTAAACGTGACAGGCACAATATATGCCCGGCGCTTCGGCGCTGTGCGTTTGCACATCAGAGAATGCATGAGCGCCCCGTAGGGCTGCCCCATGCCCGGCTCGAAAGCCCTAGCTTGGAATCAGGTCTCCAAAGACTGATATAAACATATTTGCAAAAAGTAGCCGAACTGTACAAGGCTCCGCAGGCTGCATATGCCCTAAAGTTTCCTCCAGCTCAGTCCAGCGTTTCCAGGCTCAAAGGGCTGCAGCTAGTCCGGGCACCCGGGTCGCCTCCTGCTTGATCATTTGCGGCGGCGCCAGGCCATGGGGAGGTCGATGTGGTCGCCAGCCAGCTCCCCAGGCCCAGATTGTAGCCTTGGTCCTGACCTGGTTGGGTCTGCGCATGTTGGCTCGAGGTATCGCTGAGGTCGCCGCCAACGAAGGGTGGGTGCTATAGAAGCCGGTCCCATCATCGCTGTTGTTGCTGCTGGCAAAGCTGTCTGCAGCGGGTTGTTCGGAACGCCTCCTTGGTTGCCAGCTTGGTTGCCTGCTTGGTCTGCATTGTGCCTCGCGAGCCTGCACAACGAGAGCAGAAATGATGATATCCCGGGTTCATGTGCCGCCTGCATCCGAGCGTGCTGCAGGTAGCATGTCCGAAACCGGCTGGAGGAAATCCTTGCTGCATGCGCTGGCATGGCGGGCAGTTGTTGGGGATTGCATTGTGCGTTGCTCACACGGCAGAACTGGTTCATGCAGACACCGTGCACTGCAGTAGAGCGCAAGCGTTTCCGCCGATGTGCATGTCCCCTGCCATCTGGCCTACCATGTTCAAGGTATTCGCTAACTCTCGGTCGGCTGCACAGCCTCAGCTCTTTGGCTGCCGGCTTGCTGCGGGAGCATAAAGCCTATCTCCTCTAGGAACTGAGCCGTTCCAGGTAACAAGCGGTCGGCGGAGCGGATGGTGTAGGCCACCAAGACCACTCGGCTCCCTTCCGTCCAGGGGCATGTAGCATGCGGTACTTGACGCCCATCAAAGAACACTCCTGTGGCGCTAACATGATGTCTCCGACCTGCTTGAAAGACGTTTTCCATCTCCTGGAAGTCGGTCCCTTGTGGATCCGCGATCCACAGTTCTCCGCCGACATGGTGAGAGAGGCCCAGCAAAAAGCTGGATGTCGTACCATTATGGCGGTCCACATGAGGGGCTGTCAAGTTGTCGACGTTGATGGCCAGGGAGGTCCAGCTATGCCATGCTATGCCTGCGTGCAACGGCCATCACTGCGGTATTCAAGAGGAGGCACGTTGCTGGATGCGTCACGGTCTCTCGACAGAGGCCCAGCAAACCTCCCTTGCAGAAGGCCCCAAGGCCATACGTGAGGCCATTGGCAAAGCTGCGCCCGTCTTGGGTGTAGTCCAAGAGAGCTACCGTTTCCCGTACGGCTGTCCATATGGAGCCGGAGCCACTGGCGAGGTAGTGAACTGCTCGCGCTTCTGCAGGGCTGCGCTCCTTATATGGCAGCTGCGGCGGCGGCGGAAAACTGATGGTTGTATCAGCCGGCAGTCTTTCCGTGAGCTCGTCTGCATAGCTAAGAAAAAGTTGTTTTTCAGTCGCTTGTAGCCGCTGCATGGCCTGGTAAACTATGCCGCTGCGGCTGGCCATTGTTAGGGCTCACAGTCTCATCATCATCATCATCATCATCATGGTCTGCTTCCTGCTCATATCGTAATCTGGTTCTACTACGTTCTGAAACTCCGGCACATACTCCTCCCTTTCTCCTTTCTACTGGAGCTGCTGTAAATCCAGCTTTTTCTGCTTTTGCAGCGTTTTGGTATTGTTGCTGTTGTTACTACTACTACTACTACTACTACCACCACTACTACCACTACTACCACTACTACCACCACGACCGGTACCACTACTACCACCACCACCACCACCACCACGACTACTACTACTACTACTACTACTACAACGGCTCCCTACTACCACTACAAATACTGCCACTACTACTATACTCTTGCTGCTACTACAACTACTACCACCATCACTACTACTACCGCTACTACCACTACCATCTGCCACCTACCACTACCGCTACCGCTACCACTACTACTCCTGCTCGTGCTCCTACTAACCACTGCTCCTCCTCCTCCTGCTGCTACTGCCTCTACTACTGCTGCTACTACAACTGCAACCACGATGCTGTTACGACGGCGACGACGACGACGACTAGCACTGGCACGACTGTGGCCACGGCCACGACCGCCACCACTGCCACTACCGCGACGACGACGACGACTGCTGCCTCTGCTATTGCTACTGCTACTGCTGCTCCTACTCCTGCTCGTTGGAAAAGTCGTTCCGGAGGCAGTTCTGCAGTTGGTTAGAAGACATTCATTTTGAGCCGTTGACAGCAGCGTGGCCCCAAGTGCTCCAAGCTTGCAAGAAAATGTGATGCAAAACGGAGCGAGACTGCCAGGACATTATTTGTATCACCATTGCACCGCCGCTGGAGAGTTTCGCGCTGGATCATCTCAGCACCCGCGCCACCTCTGCAATTCTTGTATGCAAGACCTGGAGTTTTTAGGCAAAGGCGTCACGCTCCACAGAAGTGCGCAAGAACACGGCCATCCTAAACGGGACTGGCTGCCTGGGGACCAGCCAGTAGAGGCAAAGGGATGGAGGAGTGTGTGTCCTCGTCGCCACACAGCAAAAACCATCCGTTTCTTTGCAGAGTCACAACTTGGAAAGGACAGAAAGCTGAAAACGCCAAGGAATCCAAGAGTCATTCGGAGAAGACTCCACTATGAAGTTCTTCGTGATGCTCATGTTGACTTGGCAACTTGGCTGTTGGGCCGTAGCTGTTTTTTTTCGCTGGTCGAACAAGCCCTGGAAGTCCCGCGACCAGCTCACCATAGAAGCCGAAGGCCTTGATTCTTGCGGGTTCAGGGTCTGCACGGCTGGGAGGGTCCAAGGGCCTCGGAATCCGAATTTTCCTAGGCGATAAAGCCCTTGAGCCTTACCGGCCTAAGCCCCGCTCTTGCTGAAAGATCTTCTTCCCGGAGATATGATAAAGAGCAACAGGGCTCGCATAGTGGCAAGGATCTTTCATTTAGAATACCTGCAATATAGTAACACTATGAAGGTATGTAGTTATGTATATATAGAATTCTATACATATACCTTTACATATACCTATACATATACATATACATATATATATATATGTATAACGACAACTTCTATGATAATTAGCTGGCAAAGAAATACTGATAAGTACACGAATAGTAGATTCTTAGCAGATGCAAGCATCAGTCGTTTCCTGTGAAGGATCTTCCCCGGAATGTGCTATTTGCCTGCAGCCCTGCCGAGCTTCTTCTCTCACGTGAGGCGGGACTGCTTGCAGAAAGGAGTTTGGTTTTGATGTCAGGTTGTTGCCGGGGTTGAGGGGTTCCGCGTTGCATTGCCAAGTCGGCGCTCCTGCAGATTGTAGACCAGGGCTGAACATTTCGGGGCTTCTCACAGGTGATCTTGTGGGCCGCAGGGGGTCTTGGGCGCTGGCCTGGAGCTCCTGACAGGAAGATTCGACAGCATGAGCTCACACTGCAGCACATGGACTGCTTCAACATCCAGAATGCCGCTAGATCTGCAAGAGTGCTTTAGTTTTGCAGCACGTCTTTCTGGTCGGAGACTGCCCCAGGCCAAGTGCACCCGTGAGTCAGACCGCGAGATCATCGAGAATCAGGTGGGAGCTGTCTAGCAACCCGAAACCCTAGGCCCTAAACCCTAAAAAGGCCACGTGGTGTATGGACGCACGGACTGAGTTCTTAGGGGCCTTGTCTTGGAAAGCCCCAAAGGTCTTGGAGCTCTTCGACGATCCTGTCGAAGTCTCCAACCATGCGGACCGGCAGTGTCCAAAGCAGTGGGCTGAAAGTGTCAATCCCCGGTCCTGCTTTTCATGTTTTCCAGCGGATTATAGCGCAAAGTTACACACCCTAAGAAGCAGTCCATCCTACAAGTACCATACTAGCAGACACGATCAGTCACGATCATACTTCGCAGAACGAGCCACTCGTGAGGACTCGCCAAACAAGGGGCTTTTTTCACCGGTGGACAACCGATCACCCTGGCGACGTCCTAGCATAAACAGCTCCTGGAACGACCGTGAGCGGAGAAAGCGGTCCTTCGGCAGAGTTGCCAGGAAGACGTTCTTTATCCGAGGGTCTTCGGCTAGTGTTTGTGGCTTGGGTTCTTTTTTGGTTGCGTGGGTCGTTTATGAGAGGTCTTAGCTCCATTTGATCTGGGTGTTGTTGCTTTTCGATGGTCTTGGCATTCTACATCTGAGGATAGTCGCTAGTTCTGTTATTTGATGGAGGGGTTGGGATGGGGTCGATTTGCAGCCCACTGCGGATGTACATAGATCGCGCAGCTCGAGCACCACACTCAAGGTTCCGAAGCTTCCAACATCGCTTTTCTCGTAGAGCACCTGGTAGCTTCCACCGCTCCCGTGCCAAGGTTCAGGAATTTCAACCGCTATGTCCACGGCCCGTTGCGGGAATCTGTGCTCCGAGGTCTCGGCAAGGAGCCACTGGTTTACCAGTCGTGTTGGGTGCCCTTCACCTGATTGTGTCATAAAGCAGCAAAAAACAAATGAACTTGCCGAATTCAGGCATCATGAAATTCGCGCGACTGTTGCAGCAGACCTCGAGTGTTAGTCATTAGTCTCGTGCACACTGCAAGACTTGGATTATACCACTTTGTCGAACATACGCGTGTGTTCCTGTGCCAGGAGGTTGACATGCCGTGGAGCTTGTGCTTGATTTGCTACTCGGCGATGCCGTCCAAACTGTGTTGGTGACATTGACACGATTTGTCGGCAGATTGACATTAATATTGCGCATTGCATCGCTAAAGACTTTTGAAGCCGGGTTTGCGTGTCTTGACATTTAGGGCTACTACTGAAGACTGAAGGCCTTTGCATAGGACATGGGGAGCATCTCCGAGTACTGCCAGAAGCCATGAGAGTTCCAAAGTCCTCCGGGCAAGCTGTGCATCCAACAGGCAGCCCGGACCCTTTGCACCAGCACCAGCTTCTGAAGCTGGCCAGGACGTGAATGTATGAAAGATGACCCGTTACATCCATCTGTCAATGTCGTTCGGCAGTTCGCAAGGTTTCATGCCTTTGGTGTTCTACTCGGCCGTCAGCGTCCTCGGCTGTGACGGCAATAAGTGCGAAGTCACTGCGCAAGTGGTGGGTTACGACACAGCTTTACAGCATCCCGGCTGGAGCATCAAGCCACAAGAGCCCAGTACAGCTCAAGAAGCCGAGTCTTCAAGCCCCGGGCCTTGCAAGACAAGGTTCATTCAGCCTGCAATCCCGGACATCAATTCCCCAAGCCTCGCAGGGAAGTGTCGACTTTGCAAGGTATGTGGTGGCCAACGCGCTGAGCTGGATCTTGGGATTTGGGCTGGTCATCCCGACGACGCACCCAATCCTGCTGCGAATGGTCGCTGGACAGCACCCGGGTCCTGATGGCTCCTGCATACCGACAGGAGCACTTCGAAGCTGGAGTTGTCCCACCGGGATGCCAAAGTATCATTACCCCGGCAAAGCACCTCAGGGGCAGAGGCAATTCGAAACTCGAAGTGCTTCTGGACTCAAGAAAACTCGAATTGGTGCAAGGTCAAGGTCGTTCTCACCGTGTCCAAGAACGTGCCAACCCAGGTCTGCTTGACTGTGGCTTGGCAACAGGGTTCGGAGCCGTTATAACCCCATGTGGCAACAGACATGGTACGCTGAAGTCGACATGGATCCTCTATTCAGGGCTTTTCGAGACTTAAGCCTATGCCTTTAGAGCTCGGAGCACATGCTTTTGAATGCCAAGATATCCCAAGAGGTGCTTCTAAGCCAACTATGTTTGTGAGAACGGCCGCAGAGTTCGAAGCAAGTGGAGACTGATACAGCGTCAAAGCATGAATAGCAAGCCGGGTTTCCACGAGCCTAGCAATCCTCTTGCGAAAAGGCTGTTTGCACCGTCGGCGCCTACGCGTGGGTGTTTACTTGTCAGGGAGTCCTGACGGCGACCATGACAACAGCCATTGTCAGAAGCTCGCCTTGAAATGGCAGGACCAGAGCTCGCGAAGACGACATGCTGGAAGCCCCAACTGTGTTCTGCCCCAAAGTTACTCAATTCAGGGGTCCTGATACATAGTAGTTACTAGCAGTATTCCTTACGGCTCCCGTTTACAACGACGTAGAATCAGAACGTACCTAGTTTTTCCGCCCCCCCCCCCGGCCATAGTACACGCCGCTCTCGGAGATATGCTGAGACGGCATAGGTCGATGAGGAACCATGTAAAGACGCAGGGATGACGGTGTTGCCTCGCAGCTCAAAGGACTGTCACCTGCTTTCTTTGCCGCCTTGGTCCTTCAGCTCAGCCTGCTCGCTTTGCAGACCCTGGCCTGCACAGAAACGAAGTCTCAGGATCCTGAGAACTGTGGCGAGTTGGAGTTCACCCCGGGCTTCAGGGCTGACCCCAACCCTAAACCCTCGTATCCTCCAAAACGACAGCGCACGATCAGGCAAGCCTGAAGGAGCCCCTAGATGCCCTAGCTGCTCCTGCACTCGAGGCTTTGGTACTTCTTCATTCGTTCCAGACTACAAGGGCAGCCGGAGCACTCGCCGCAGTCGGAGGACTCCACAAAAAAATCGCGAGTGTTGAGGAAGACATGTACTGTTCTTCGGAAGTCGCGGCTCACGCCCAAGCGGAGGCGATGAGAGCCCCGAAGGACAAACCCAACAGCCCCCTTCGAAGCAACCCTTAAGAAGGATTTCAAGGTTTGGCAGCCTGCTTGAGCAGCACTGCTATCTTCCGAAACCCGAAACCCGAAGCCGCTGTCGAGCTTGCGGTCGTGGAGGCACCCTGAAGCTGAAAGCCCCTTTTCGATTATGGGACAAAGGAAGAGAACATAAGTAGCAGGCTATCGGATAAAGGTTAACGGTTAGGGTTTTTGTTGCCTTGTGCCCTAGAAAAGCACAGCAAAGGACCCAGAGCAAGACATAGCGAGAGAGGGCGAGAGAGACGGATGGGGCCCGGAGGGAGGATTTCCCAGAGAGATCAGAGACCAATGTACAGGCGTGTAGTTGCAAAAAAGTGTACCTTTACACTACTTTATACATTTGTGCGCCACTGGGCATTGGCTGTTCCAGCCTTTTGTCAACACCAGGCTTGGGAGTTCCCAACTCCAGCAACTTAAACCTCAAACCCCTTGACTTATGAACCCTAGCTGGCAGCTTTTCGGAGAGGACTGCTATATGGAGTTCGACTGACGGGAGCTTCCGGGACGGACAGATATAGACATGAGGTCGGAGGGTTCCCTGCTCAGAGCCAGCTTGAACTACACACTCTTTCTGTGCGCTCTGCATATTCCTTGATGGACTTTTAAGTCGAAGTGCACTTTCAGCCATTGGTCAATGTCTGGGATGAACCCTCACATGGTGGTATGACAAATGCCTTGTGGTAGATAGACCCCTCTGACTCACAGCTGTGTATGTTTCAGAAAATCCCTCAGACCTCATGGAGCGGTCAGTGAGCAGCTGCAGGGGGTGAGAGGGCAACAGAGCCTGCGAAAAGTTGATTATATGGGTCCCACACGGTGAGTCATATGGTTTCTGAAGAATATCTGGATTCACTCCTCATCAAAGGTGGGGCTGCGGAGTTTAGTTGGGGAGAAGGGACCCATAGTAGGGACCCTGCAGTTCAGAGCATGTAGGTCACATGGATGGAAGCCCCAACTCGGATAGCCCTCCCAAAGCAAGTGCTCCGGCGAGTGCCGGCCTTCGATGCGAGGAGAGCCGCCGGATCAGGAATCCCCTCTCCATCGCAGAGCCAAGTTCCCAAGTGCCACACTCATGAAGAATCCGCGCTTAGTTTAAAGGGTTCATAAGAAACAGCACCACCGTGAATTCCTGCTGCCACCCATACATTAGTCACTTCGGCCCCCAACTCAAAGGCACCGACAGTGCAAAGTGCGGACGGCCCAGCGCTCGGTCAGCACAGAAAAGGAAAAGATCCTGCGTGAGAATCGGGATCTTTGCTTCGGGGCTTCCGCTCACGTTGAAACATATTCCGTTTGACTATGTGCATCCCTCCTCCCCACGGTCCGGCCCTGACGGCGACCGTGGTGCAATTGGAACGGCTGTGGTGTTACTGATGATGATGTTGATGATGATGATGATGACGATGACTGTTGTCCTTTGGTATGGAACGATCTAGGTGCTAGGTTGACGAATTTTGTGGTCTCTAGGCTTCTGCTGAGAGCAGTACAGTTGGCTCGGCCCTCTTCCACCATGTGCGCTTGTCCTCAGGTGGAAGCCTAGAAACAGCTTGCAGAATGTTTGCAGGTATTGGGAAGTGGAATACATTCCTAGGAAGCCGTATGTACACACAGCAACCCGAATGGATACCAATGCATTTGCATCTGATTCCAGGTCATTGTGAGAGTTTTGCCCCGAAGCAAGCCTTCTCGTCCCGCAGCAGGCCGCTTCTCTTGAGTGAAGGGTGGCAAACCCACATTGGTAGAGTGAAAGCTGCGCAGAGTTATGCGCGCGCTGGCTCTCAGCGTCTTGCTGCGAGCTCTTTTCACATTTGCCACGGGCATGGAGGCGTGACCGCATCAGGCTCAGAAGCGGAAAAAGCAGGGCTTCCTGCAACCCGCCAGTGGGAGAATGCCCTGTGGTTCATTGGCGACGTGTGTGGATGTTCGGAATAGATCGTGGCTCTTTCCAGAGTATAACACCCTCGGACGGTGCGAAAGTCATGCGGGCTGGTCACCACTGCCAACCGAGACGACAACAGGAGAGTCTCGGCCGACTCCCACAAGCAAAGCCGTGCCACATCGGCATATCGCAAGAACCTGCGGATGAGAACAAGAGTGGCATGAGACTACACGATTGAATCAAACCAAAACGCGTGAGCCCATCAGAGACTAGCAGACTAGCAGCTCTGACTCACGTGGACCCTCATTTCTTGTGATGGGATCTTTCGTGTGCATAGGGCCATAGGGCCATAGGGTTGGACTCGGTTGGACATAAAGGCCTAGGCATCATCAACTGAACCAGCCAACTGACACAGCGGCCAAGTTAAGCCTGATCCGAATTTCCAAAGCAACTACGCTTTGTTTCACTACATCACGATGTTCTGATGCCAGTAAGCAACAAAATAATTAGTCTCCAAGGCCTACAGAACAGGAGCTCGCAGATGAAGAATTTGAGATGCAGGCAGCGTGACCAGCCGTAGTGGAGGTGTGATATTGTGGTTGAGGTTGCCTTTGACCGTTTTGTGCTCGATCACACGGTCCGAGCAGAGGCTTGAACCCGGGCTTGCGGACAAGTTGCTGCTGTGCACTGCTATCCCAGGTTTCCATCGACGCCTGATACACGTTTCGCCCAAAGTCCGAAAATCCCACAGCCCAAGCTGAGTCTAAAGCCCTGGAACAGGCAGAGCATGTCCGCAAGGCAAAGGAGGCCGCTGAGGCCTGGGCTGGGCAGCTTTCTCTCATTCGGCTCCGCTGGCCTTTCAAGAGCTTTCCACGCTGTGAATTCAGGCGCCATGTCTTAAGTCCCATTTGTCCCTGGTTGGGCTGATTGCAGTTTGGTCCGTAATGGATTCTTTGAAGACTCTTGGCGACAGTTGCCACTCGTGCCTGAGGCACTGCAAGAACGAACCTCACCCGTCCACACGCTGTGTAACGCTGAAGACGCATTTGCGGTGTCACTCATGGGTGTACATATATTATACATACGGACAGATGCACGGAGGGAGGAAGGGCGGACAGACAGAGACGGACTGACAGATTCATGCACACATGCACACACGTGTGGGATTTCGGCAAGAGCAAGAGGCAAGCAGAGAAGAGGGGAGATGCGGGGTTGTTGTTCGTTATTTCACTTAAGCCACGGCTGCTGCAAACTGTTCAGGAAACAACAGCGAGGATAATCAATGTAATTACAGCGACGATGCTAGATTCTGCTTCATGTTTTTTTTTTTACGTTCTTCATCACTTTGCAGGTACAGGTGGTTGATCAGACCCATGTTTTCGGAGTGGCTGTCGATCATGTCCATCGTGTCTGCGCATTAGTCGGACAAGCGAATGGAATTCCCAACGTTCTCGGAGTGGCTCTCTGCAATGTCCGATGTGTCCACCAGCCGATCAGAATGAGGGATCTGATCACTTATGTTCTCATTTTCTGATGTAGAATGGATGTTGCCAAAATTGTCATCCGATTCAGGTGGGAGGTTTGAATCAAAATCTGGCAGAACTTGCTTTTCATGCGCCATGATGCCCAAATAGCAGGCGACTCAAGCGTCTGCATTCTCCTCGAGCAATTCATGCTGTTTCACAGAAAATGCGAGAAACGTCTCGACAGACGTGTTGCAGGCTGATTGTGTTGTCGAGGTCAAGATACAGGAAATTCCGGCACTTGTTGCTGCGGCACCCAACAGCTGAAGAAGCCCGACCCGATGTGGTGGTCGAGGTCTGATTGAATTAATGATCTCGGATGGCTAAACTCTGACGTCCAAACTTTCTCAGACAGCCTGCGAAACGGAAGTGGTGGTTTCTGCAGCCGTCTATCCATCCAAAGTCCCGTGAGGGGGCTGCAAGTGTGAGTATGCATACAAAGGAAGTGTATACATGTGCGTACACATGGATGCATAGATGCAAGTCCGCACACAGTCTCTGCAGGAGCTCCGCTTGAGGACATGCCACATCGCCGGCCTGGCAGAGGACACAGATCCTGAATCAATCAGGCAGGGCCAAACCTTTCGGGAGAGCTGGGGAGCCAACCAACCTGATCTAGTGTGAAAGCTCTAACATGGTGTCACAATCTTCCTGTTCCAGGGCCTCTATTTTCTCCATCCCGATGAAGCAGTAAATGGCAGCCGCCGGCCTTAGACCGCAAGGAAGCTGTGCGAAGGCTGGGGCGAGGTGGAGACCCTGAGGAGCTCGGTGTCGTTCGCGAATTGGGGTTGAGGGAATGAAATTTTGGAGCTGAGGTTCGCAGAATATTTCGAAATTTCAGGCCTAGAAACCAAACAATGTCTCCGTGGGTTCCGGCGCGTGAGTGCAAAAGCTTTTCCGGTAACCTTTGTTTGTTCGCGTTGTGCTGTCGTTCCAAACTTTGCCAGTCCACAAATCGGCCGGTTCACGGGTTTTTTAGACTACCTGCTTGAGGGTCTGATGCATCGTGGGCTGCCGCGAAGATCTCGAAAGTACGCCACGCTGACAAAGCCTTCTGCTGACTCGCTGGGGTCTTGCAGAAGACAATGTTCTTGGCACGACCGCACCACTGCAGCACTGCAAGCCACAGCTTGCTAGAGTCTGCTAGAGCGCTTCTTGAAGAAGCAAAGCCACGGGCACGAGAGGGAGTGCACAGGTGTGGTCTACTTTGTGAGACACTCCTAGAGGCCATTTAGGAGATGTGGATGCAGCTCTTGGAGGCTCCCACATGGGTAGAACGGCAGCTTCATCAAGCCGCCCCCTTCCCAATAGCACATGAACAACCGAAGTGCGCAAGACAGCTCGCAATCGGAGCACGGAAGTGGGATGGTGGGCACCATGCAGGATAGACAAGGACGCAGACGGTCCTAGCCTCAGCAGGTCGGAACTGGCCCCAAGTGGCAGGGCGAAATCCCGTTGTTTCCAATCGTCGAACATTTCGATCGTACTCACATGTGGAGCACAGCCCGCAGCCAGGCAATGCTATGTAGCATGTAGCTGGAGGCCAGCAGCGAAGTCCATCAGCATGCCATTTCGCAGCGGCAGCGCAAGTTTCGATCAGGAGCGCCTTTCGCCACGAGCATCGCGAAACGACTTCACCTGTCTTTATTCATTCGGCCTAGCAACCCTCCGAAGCATGCATGTGATGCAATCAGAATGTGTTTACTGGGCTCGTCTCCCCATGAACATCCCATGCAGAAACACTACTTGCGCACAGAGTCCTCTTTGCCGTGGTGCTGAAGGTCAAACCTTCGGCCTCGTTGAGTTCAAGGACTCAATGCTCCGTGAATCAAACACAGGCTTACAGTTGCCATGCACAAAACTCAGAAAACCTTTATTAAATTGTAAGCCGAATCAAAATCTGGGAGTACAGCCGAGTGGAGTGCATGAACCTGCAGTTTCAGCAGCAGTATGAGTCGATGAAGCGTTCAGCGCATTTTCCAAAAGCACGACTGACTCGATATCTGCATGTGGGAGCACTGACCTACCCGGCAAATAATCGACACCCGTAAATCCGTGCTGCACAGACCTGGCCTCTCAAACTCAAATCGCTGAAGTGTCGACGCCACATACGACTTGTAGTATCATTTGCTCATGAACTCCAAACCACAGCCCGAAGCCCCTTTCACAGGAGACCAAGGTTGCTCATGCGAGGCACTCAGCTTGCACCCCACTGCGACTGCTTCTGTCATGGTGGTGATGATGATGCTGACTGTATAGCAGTATGGCGATGACTTCGTGCCTTGAGTTCGGGTCGTATCGTCAAGCAACCTGTAAGCACCCGATGAGAGCATCTTGCAACGAGACTGAATCGTACAATGCCACTTAGTGCATGCAGTGCACTGTATAGGATCGTACATGCGCCTGCTAGTACAGCAAGCTTTGGTGTTTTGGGACGTGGGTATCCGTGAGGGCGAGATGGTCGGGTCGTAGTTGTGTGTCCTCCGGTTGCCAGCACAGAGGGCACAGACCAACTACCACAATGAAGACCCTTCCACGAGCAGTCTTGAGGATGATGGCTGTGCTTTGGATGGTGATCTTTAGGAGCCAGAGGCTTTGTGCGATGACAAGCTTGGTGCCACCTCAGGTTGTAAAGATGCAGCGGTCTTTCCTTGTGGATGACGACCGGGTGCTCGTGTTCACAGAGGCCTTGATGCATGTAAGCCGAGCCCCTGAAGTTACAGCACCGACTGGGAAGGACAGTTGGCATCTCCTTGAATGTTTGGTTTGGGAATGCAAGGCGTAGCCGGCCCCATGTCCTGGCAAGAACTGTACCGGTGCCACCGTTCTGCCTTCGGATGCGAAAAACTAGAGGTTGCAGAGGGCCTCGTTCCGGGAGCCTTCGGACGTTCCTTTCCATATCTATGGGTGCTCTCGCACTTGCCACCCTCGCCCACGAGTGCAGGAATGTTGCGCAACATCTGCAAGATAAAACGCCCTGTCGGATGGCCTTTCAGCAGTGCCTCCGTGTTCATGGAGCGAAGCAACCAGACAGTGGTTGTTAAGCTCCGTTGCAGAGAGCAAAACCGAAAGCTCAGAGCCTCTCCGACCCCAAACGGCCTGAAGCCCGACCATGGGCACTCGGCTAAGGTACTACGCGGTTTCTTACGGTGAAATATTGTTTGGTCTCTGTGAAGGCGAAGTCTCATGTGGACAATGCCAAGGTTGAAGAGATGTCATGGCCTCGGCCCTCTCGGCTAGTGTACAACACGCTTCAGGGCCCGTGAGCTCTTAGGCCCCAGGCTGCGTGAAACGGACAGATTCCTGCAACAGTGAACACCGGCATCTAAATGCCTTGCGAATCATTGCATCCTTGCCAGTGTTTGACCCCGCACGCTACGAAAATCTCCGGATCACTGCGGCCCAGGACTGTGCAGTTCCAGGCGCTCTGCAATTCCCCCTAGGCCCTAAGCCTGCAAGGTCTCCGCTCGAAGGTCCGCGTGGCGGTCTGCTTGACATCTGCACAAACATACTGGAGCGGACTTGCGGCAGAGCTGTTGAATGCAACTTCTTGGTAACTAGCTTCGGGTAACAGTTAGTCAGCCAGGCTTCCCACCTTTCCAAGACAGGGCTCTCAACCGGACAAAAGTTGGCACTTGGTTCCCAGATGACACAAGAAAAGCCGTCGTTGCACGATCCCTTGGAGAGCTGTCCACTTACTCGCACCACTGCGGAGAAGCCTGAAAATTGCTTCAGGCGCCGATCATCGATGCCATGAACATGCGCTCAGTCCGAGCCCAAGTACTTGTATACGTTGTTTAGGAGAGAGCCGAAGATACGGAAGATGGGAGACTAGGAGTACCTGGCACTGCGTGTTTAGTTGCGGCTCGTGTTGGCTTAGTCGCAACTTTCTTGGTCTCTTGGTCTGGCGCTACCGTCGGTAGACAAACCCCCACTTGTTTGAGGCGAACAAGCTCCTGGTAGCTTGTAACCTGTGTGTCCTTTCAACAATTTCGACTCACTCGCTCATTGATTCTCAGTCTTGGGAGCACAGCGGAACGAGGAAGCGAGATTGACCCGACGTCGTGGCAGCCGCGCCTCCTCCGGTACGTAGGGAACTTCAACATTGGACGTGCTTCCTAGTGCCCTCCTTTTCTGGGCGTGGTGTCTCCGGAACGCGACCAACACATCATGGTATGAACTGTTGCTAGATCGCCGTTCTCACTCTCAGAATAAGCCGGACCCAGCACCCCAACTTTCCGAAGTCCTCAAAACTTTTTGTTTACGCCTTACTCGGCGAAGCGATGAAGCAGAGGTGTTGGCATCGCAAGTCCCCTTCGCGGAGAAGTTGGCCAAGGCCATGGCTCAAGGGGCTGAAGAGAGAATCCGTAGAGTCGGGCTTCAGGGTCTCCCTGCTCTGAAAGTGCGCTTTGCTGTGGTATCCTGTGGCCAGGTCAAAGCAGCCGCGACGGAGATCTTGACCGTGTCTTGCTTGGAGTTAGTCTCCGGTCTCCAGCTCTTGATCGAAATTGATCTGGCGTGCATAGCTCCTATTAGCTCCTACTAGTACCGATCGGTAGACCTCACATTGCTAGAGCTGCTGGGGAGGTCCGCCAGAAGTCTTCGTCGAGTCCTTGCACGGTCCCAGGCCCCACCCAGCGAAGGCGAGGCCAAAGTGCCTTCCGACGAAGCCAAGAAGGTGCGCTCGGCTTTAGGCCAAGAAGTGCTTCTCCATTCTCGGATTTGTACTGTGTGTGTGTTCTTGTCCTGAGTATCGTGAGTTTAGAGCTTGCCAGGCTACTGTTGTTGCCGTTTGGACAGCTGGGACGAGAAGCAGATCAGTAAAAGAGGTAGGAGAACACTCATGACCAAGCTCCCGGAACAGACTTGCAACCTTTTTCCGTCCAGCAGTCTGGAACTTAAGTAGTTCGTCCTCCAAAAACATATTCGGTGGAGAGCAGAGCAATGTGGCAGCTTTTCTGGATGCGGCCACAGAACCTGGCGGGAACGACATGTGACAACCAGGACAAAAAAGATAAGAAGAAAGACAAAAAGGCGCTTCCGAGTCGTGTCCTTGTCTTGCAGGATGTTGCAGGGGTAGCTCCAACCTGCCTGGTGCAGTGGGGCACATGTTGAAGGCTTCTGCCCAGACGATTTCAGCATGCGCGACGGCCGGCAAGGCAACAGCACAAGAGCTGAGCTCGCATGTAACACATCAGGACAAAAAAGAAAAGAAAGAGAAAAAGCTGAAGAAAGACCGCGACGGACTGTTGCCCCCGCATCGATGCATCATGTCTTGCCAACCTTCCCGCAGAGTGCTCCGATTGTATGAATTCCCGATGGACGTTCCGAGGAGCGGAAGGAGGCAAAGAGAAGAAGGAGAAGAAGCCCAGCCCTCAGCCTTCGACGAACCCGAAACGGTTCAGAGACACTCTGAGAGCATTTCAGATTGCTCCTCTGAGTCTCACCCTGACAAAGATCGGAATTTCAAGGGCACACTGTGCTCGGAGGAAGCGACAGCCTCACTTCGCGGCATTCGTGTTCTCAGTGGTTGTTGTGTCGGTCTGAACTACAGGAAGGACAAGGAGAAAAGGAAAGAGAAAAAGAAGGAGAAGAAGGCCCGGCTCCATGATTTGGTCAGCCGGGGTTCAAGTTTGAACAAGCTGTTGAGCAGTTTCAGATAGCTTTGATGACGACCCAGTGCTGAATCCCATCCAGAGGAGAAGCAGAGCCAACTGCCGAAGCGACCAAAGCCTGAAGCAGACGCAGCAGAGGCTTCGCTCGTTGCCCGGAAATTGGCCCCAGAGCTGGAGAGTAAATTCAATTCCGTATAAAGGTTCGCCTCTTGGGGCAGGGCTTCATCGTGAGAGTTTGGGCTTTCCGAGACATCGCAGGTTCGGGCCTGGCTCTAAGTCGGTGTCCCAGGGCCCTAGTGCAACCAGCCATCATTCAAACGGTATGCGGACCGGGAGCCGTGCCCTCCTTGCTTAGTCAGCAAATCCCCCCCCGAGAGAACAGAGTCGTAGGCGCGATGCGGCGCTGAAGCCGTTTTCGAAGGAATCTTGACAGTCGGGCCCAAGATGCCCAAGGTTTGTGCGCTCAGGGAGCTGTTTGGGCCATTCTCCGGAAACCGCGCTGGGCTGCAGGCTGAAACCTTCATCGAGGAGGAGGAAGAGGAGGAGCGAGAGTCTGTGTGTTTCAAAGACAGTTTCCGACCCCTCCTCCTGAATGCGCAATGCGCGTTGGGGTCTATTGTGCTTTATGTACCTCTTCTGAATACAGATCATGTTACTCTGCCAACTAAACTTTCATGGCACACCCGGTGAGAGAAGCATGCCAAAAAGACATTCACGAGTTGCGATGAAAATGCAAGCCGTCGTGGTGAGTTCATGCATGGAGTGAGGGCAGTACTGACTTTGCCGTGGCACCATCTTGCGCAGGCGTGGAGATGGCACCTAAGCCTCACTAAGCTTGGTGTGCAGGGCCGAAGAGATATAGATCCGAAACGCTGGCTGTCGTGCTTGAGCAACGAAGCAAAAACTTTCGCACTTCCATGAGAGGAGATGGTTGACATTGACGAGGAGGTAGAGGCAGCAACTTGTGTTTCCGCGCTTGAAAAACACGCTGGACGCATCATTGGGCCTTGCCGCTGCATCTCTGAACCCGGAACTCTACGCTTTCCATGTTGCGACACGTACAATTCGAGCAGTAGTGCGGTGTCAAGCTTCGGGGCAGAAACCGGCTCCTCATTGGCCCCGTTTGGCGGTATGCTGGGCTACTAGGCTCTCGACTTAAGGTGCCCGGGGTTTTCGAATCTTGCAAAGACGGAGCGAGGTCTCTGACACATCCACAAAAGGCCCAGCCCTGCCCGAACTCTCACAGGTGCTGGCCGAAGGGGAGGTTGTGGGACTCATGGGCAGCTCCTCGCCGGGCAGCCAAAAGATGTTGTCTGGGCGCACACGTGGGGCTTCACGTACTGGCGACACGATGAAGCTGTTCTTTCAAGTGCATCGCAACGGGGGTGTGCGCAGCCCTGCACATGTAGTACGCAATGGCGTAATCTGCTGGGTCCGCAGACAGTTGGACGAGCTTGGCCGTGGATGTTGGAGTTGTGTGTGCCTAGCGGGCCTTTGTAACACAGCTGCTCGTGCCACGCCCAAAGAAAGGTCCTCGTCCAGCGACACAGCCCGGGACTTGGGTTCCACCCAGCGGGCTTGGGTGTTGCAGAGAGAAGCTCGGGGCCTACCATAGAAGTGTTTCTGAACCAGCGAAAGTATGGCCTTGGAATCCGTGCAGGAGTCAAACCACTAGCAGATGCTAGCAGCCCACTCCACGTCAAGGATTACGGCGCTGACGCGCTGGTCGAGCTGCCTATGGACGTGTCGGCACCAGATGAAGTCAGCGACGCCCGGGCCTGACATCATCGGAGGGGGTGTAAGTTAGTTGCTGGTCTCATTGACACGATATGCTTTGAATGTGCTTGGAGTTCATGCTGTCCTGGACAATCCCTGCAAGCATCGTACAGGTGGGGGCTTCGGTGGGCCCAGTCACAATGATACGATTTCTAGGATTAAAGCGAAAGAGGCACCAGCTGCAACCGGAATCTTTCATTGCTGAGTTCAGTTCATAACTTCATAAGAAGCAGCAGGCCTGAGCTGCCAGAGCTTCTTCTCTCCGTGTCCGAGAGTTGCTCAGCCTTTTGTGTGGTTGAACCGCTCGCTTAGGGCGACGACGTCGTCTGCGACGCCCCGCCCGGAGCTCACATCATTGCAGAAAACTCAACTCGCTGCTCCCAAAGCCTTGTTTTGGGCGCAGATTGATGACATCCGCAAACGCGAAGTTTCCCCCAAGCTCCCACGCCCTTCCAAAACGACGCAGCTGATACTCCGAGGACACCCTTGCGGCCACTGAAGGGCAAAGGCAAAGGTAAGGGCAAGGCACAGAATGCAGCTATGGGCTTGGGCTTGCTTGTGTTTCAAACTCACGAATATGGCTTGGTGGGCCAGAGCGTCTTTGTCCGAAGCGCCTGATGAACCAGCCAGATTCGAGACGATGTTTGTCTTCCCTCCAAGACCCTGAACCTCTCCACCCCGTCCCAACAAAACCCGCAAGTGTGAACATACAGCATACTACACTCGAGACCCTGCCCGACACCAGCAGCAAAATGATGGCCAGCTGCTCCTCCGGAGCCGCGGCCGTGGTCCTCCCTGTGCTGCACGCGGCGTGCTGCCGCCGCCAGGGACTTGACGGAGAGTTCGAGATGGTCGAATCAACTCGATTTCAGTGACAGTTCAGCCGCGTCACTCTTTCAAGGTTGCGGACTTTGGGCCGAACGAGCTAGATTTGGGCTTTGTTGCCATGTGGTGTTGCAGAGCTTTCGTACTGCCACAGTACCGTCATAGCAACAAACCGACGACATGGCACCTGCACACAAAGGTCGAGTCTTGAATTGATGGTTTCGAGCTCGCTTTAGCTCCCTGAGCAGCACTATTTTGCAAGTGTGCCTGAGGTTGCGCGGACTTCCGCGCAACCTTCCTCGCAGCCCCCCACCCAAAGGCCAGTTTCCTAGCGTGTCCGGCCTGGAACCTGGAGCCATGTGGGGGTCTCTGCCGTTGCGGGGCCGTTGGCTCCGTCGCAAGCGACTTAATCTTTAGTAAGTTCGATGGTGTTTTGGGAAGGGGAGGGGGCAACTTGGAACAAGCTCCACGCTTGCAAGAACCTCATGTTCTGTCTCGATGCTTCGGGAGTTTGGCGGTCCTGCCTCGGTGTTGATTGCGGGCTGCGGTGGGAGCTCACTTGGGCCATATTTTTTGCATGCACATAGTTTAATCTTGTCATCTCTCTTCGCCCATGTAGATGCGAGCAGCGAGCCGCGTGCACCACGAAGACACCAAGACTCTGAAGTGCTTTTTCCTTGTTGCTAGAAGGCGCTATCGACCTGGATGACACTGCGGTGTTGGATCTGAGCTAGTGAGCCAGCCTTTAAAAGCCGTCATTCCAGGGAGCGCCAAAGAACATCTGCGAGGGTTGTTCAAGATGGGGATACTTAAAGAGACCATTGAGTCGGGTCTGTTCTCTTTGTCGGGCCCCTATATAACTCTGAATCTCTGGGTGCTTGGGGGCTGGTGCTCAATAAGCAGAGACGTGATTCAGAAGGAACCCGGAATGATTGCCGGTGAGTGGGCATCACGGACTCCAAGAAGGCTGAAGGTTGGGAACTCGTGACGCGAACTCTCTGTGAGGGGGGCCGTGCTATGCAGAGTTCTTGCAGCAGTTTGGGCACAAGAGCTTTGTTGAATCTTCTCTCCTGCTGTGACATCAGCCCTATGACCAACACGACTCTTGACAGCAGAACGGCAGTTCGCTAGGTCCCCCGACCAGCCACAGCTGACATTGCCCGAAGGAGTTTGCTGTCTACAACTGAAGGGTTCGTCTCGGGTCACTGGCTCATTAGCTGTCTCTGCTTCTGCTGTACCCTCCACACTTCCTGTCTTCATGCCGTCTGTCCCGGCAAATCTAGAAACTGTTGCAACGCCAAGGGCGAGTGCACGATGCCAGCCGCAGCTTGCTTGCGCTAGCAGGAATTCTTTCAGAACTCAAGGCAAAACTTGGGCATCTCGCCGTCTTGGGTTCAGTTACACAGGGCTCCTCTTCTTACTCGGCATAGACTCTTGAAACGCCGAGGCCGAGTGTCACGTGGGACTGCTTGCTGCCCTCATACTAGATCGAACAGATTCGCAGGATCGGAACTTCCCATAGCCATAGCCCTTCCCTTTGAACAGGATCATCACCTTCGCAGTGCACAATTTGGCCGGCACCGGACTTTCCTCAGAAGCGGCCCTTGAAAACCCACCCCAAGACCTGAAATTCCTAAAAGCCTAAGTCTCGTGAAGAAGGACATCCTTGTCCTCGGCTGTGATCTAAGAATCAGCTTTGCCTTGAAGCGTTCCGATGCCGCGACGCCGAACGGAAAGGAATCTTTTGGAGTTGCACTGAGGGCTGCGAGACATCGAAGCGTGGTTTATCAGATTTTATCAGTTTCAAAGTTAAGAAACGCGCATTGTGATGATTCATCATGCCGGCAGGACGTACCCAATGTGCTGAGCTCAGGGCGCAGCATCTCGCGCACGAAGACACCGACCAGGACGGTACTTTCCGCAGGTTTGTGATTTCGAGTTCGGCACTGGGAGCTGTCTCCAATGCTTAATCTAACGCCTCCAGGTGGTCAGGAACCGCACCCGTCTGCTGCATTGTCACTCTCATTCCGGCATCTTCACCACGGACCTTGTAAGCGTCGTGGGACTGCCATGCTGCCCACGGCCCTCTCGCGAGGCGCAGCGACCGGCGCTTCCCGGCCGACACGCCCCGCAGCCGCAGTCGGCGCCACGAGCGCGAGGGTCGCCGGCGCCGCCGCCGTCGTCATTCCCGCGCACGTCGCAGCTCCAGCTCAAGCCCAAAGGCTTCTGGGCTCGAAAGGCCGATGCATGCCGATGCGCCCTAACCTTGTCTTGCGTGGTGCCTAAAACTACACTTGTGTGGAATATGCTGACACAGATGACAAGGGAAAGATGAACATAAATGTGACACGCAGGAGAACGAAGAGAAAGGCAGACGAGGACACACAAAGTGATCATAATGGCTGGTGCCAAAGGAGGTAAGACAGTCTTCAGAAGAGCTACAACATCTGCAGCCGCAGTCGTAGCAGCAACCCGAAAAGGCTGCAAAAGCATCAGCAGCAATTACTCAGGACAGCAGCAGCAGCATATCAAACAGCAAGGGTGCTGTCAGCAGCCGCCCAGTAGCATCGTCAGGCTCAGAGCAATCAGAGTATACCGCAACCCGAGGCCAAATCCAAGCGCGAGGATGCGAGCCGCGAGAGGAGTGCGGAGAAGGCTTCAGAGGCCCCTATGGAGACAGAGGCGCGGAAGGTTGGTTGTGGGAGTCGTTGTCGCAAGGTTGCCACTTGTGGGTATTCGGTCGTTTTTGGGCTTCTATCCCGGAGCTGAAGCACAGGCGCTCGGAATAGAGGCATGAAGTTGTGTGTGTGTGTGTGTGTTTTTGTTTGTTTTTCAAAAACGGGGGTTCCGGCGCTAAGCGCTAGTTAGGTTATTTACTGCCAAAGAAGGACTGTTTTCGAAAGAAGGGCTGTCAATCATAGGAACCACACATGCCCATGCATGAACAACGCATACTTTTACACACACACACACACGCACTCGCACGTGCAAGTGTACATACATACAGATATGTAGATAAATACATTGACATGATATAAGAGACAGGTAAGCTAGCAAGAACAAGATGTTGCGATGTATGCATGCATGTATTCTTTTGAGTAGGTATGCAACGACGTAGTCTCTGACTCTGATACCATACGTCCACCAATCTCGAGGCACCTTCCGTCACGGAGACAGTGCTGCCGGCACGTGTAGAGCCAGGATTCTCGGACAACGCGCTGATTTGTTTAAGATAGTCGGTGGATGTGGGCTTTATGTTTTCGGAGGATGTCACCGTGATCAGACTTTCGCAAGCTCTTGAGCCTGCCCGAAAGCGAGCTGGTGGCTTCCAGGATTGCCCTTTCTTTCCTTCCGAGAGTTTGTCCTGACGCAACCGATCGAGACCGTTGAGGCCAAGAAGCCGGAACAGCTTCTCGGAGCAGTGAGAAGCAGGGTCCATTGCTTGTCGAAACGCGAAATTCCTAAACTGTAGCGGGTCCTGTGTGGGAGTACAGGGCTTGGGCGGCACAGGGCGTAGAAGTATCTTGCAAACTGGTGTGTGAACTCTCCATCAAGCCCATGCCCTGTTTCGAAGTGCCGAGCAGTCTACAAACGGTATGCCGTTTCTCCACAAACTCAGGCTCGTGGAGGAGTACAAGGTCTACGATGGGGACCACAAGCGCGACTGCCAGGAACGGTATTGGGCAGCCCACACGGAGCCTCGGACGTGAAGACGTGCTTTTCGGTGTCCAGAGCAAGAGTTTCAAGGCCCTTACTAGTAACTCGCAAAGGCGTGTAGAAGCGCTCCAAATCTGCTGCGCCTCGCCAAACAGAGCTTCCCAGCCCTTCGCATCATAAAGGCCAAAGCTCGTTGTATTACCCAAGCAGTCAGCATAATGTCTTAGCAAGAACGAAATAATGTTCACATCTGGTTAGTAGTGATGATGATGATGGTGGTGATGATGATGATCTTGCCTTCGCATCGGCGGTTGCTGCCGCTGCGGACGACGGCACCATCAACCATAGTGGCAGGAGCGGCGACAGTGGCAGCAATGCCAATTCACAGCAACATCGAAGACAACAACAACGACAAAATCAAGAGGAATAATACAAGGAAGAGCAAAGACAACAACAAGTAGCATTGGCACCAGCAGCAGCACCTGTGACAACGCAGCAACAACTGCAGTCGTACTAGCAACAGCATCCATAGCCATGCACACAGGCGCAACCACCACCGCCAGTAACATCACTAGACCCCAGAAACATGCATCAACATCGTTTACCTGCCGAGCCTTTGTCAATGCCTAAGCCGAACTGCACATGAAAGGATCAGGGCATCCTTCGTGACTCCTATCATCCGGAGAACCTGCGGCGTTTGTGGAAGTGGCGGTGCGACCGCGGAAAGCAGATGATGGAGCAATTCCGGAATTCTTTGGACCCTTGGCCTCACACTAACAAGATTCCATTGACGAATTGCCCTTCCGATCTTGCAACAGCACTGTTGAATTTTGAGTTTCGCATGGATTTCGTGAGCACATCCAAGAGCTCTTGGTGTTTTTCCGAACCTTTGGAACCGGCACGAGGCCAACGGCAAGTTCGAAAAGCTGCACTTTTGCTACAAGAGCTCAGCATCCGTGGAAGGCGGGTTCCGATGCGCGAAGTTGGCAACTGAGGAGGGAATCGACTGTTAGAACGACCTTTTCCTTTGGGGAAGGTCACGCCCATGAGGAGGTCCGCAAGATCAAGCTCCCCAAGAAGCAGCTACTCGGTTCTGCACAGCTTGTGCACGAGCGGTCCTAGAATATGTGTCTGGGGCACACACAGCAAGCTGAAACCTGGGGAGCAAGAGTGTAGAAACTGTTGCTTTTGTCAAAACAGCACAGGAGGGTTGAAAATGCAAGCGGAAAGGCTGCAGGACCTACTTTGCCTGCAGCAAGAGCACGTCCTGGTGTTGGAGGAAGTTCCGCGACAGGCCCTCGCACGGTTTCCGCTGGGTACGGTCGATGGATCTCCTGGTTGGCCTTCGAGTTTTTTCGGTTGGCATGAGCAGCCTTCTAGCGACCCAGAAGCGCACGCAGGTGAGCATTTGGGACATACACGACCAGCTGTCGCAGTTCAGTGGATTCGAGGACCGTGAAGGTCTGTGAGATTGCCTCGTCGGCGCGGCCGTAACCTCACGGTAACCTCTGATTTGCTGTGCATCTCTAAGATCAACCGTACATGATATGGAAAGCACATTGTTGAGTATCTGTATGTGTGTGTATATATATNNTGTATGTGTATATATATATATAGCTGTGGATTTCGTGCTCATAGCATGCACAGACAAAAGCAGAGCAAACACCTACAAGCATCCCTAGACCAGTGGTCAATACAAGAAGGGGAAACCACCTCACACGCTCCTTAACCAGTGCCCGAATTAGCCAGCGTACAAGGCACCAAAGGAGGAGTGGCAGTAACCCACACATGAGAACGACAAACCATGCAGACCTACCCCACGTTCGTCGCGACAAGTCGCCACACCACACGCCCTTACGTCTGAAGGCGGTGCAGACCGAGAGCAACGCAAGCGGCGGCGAATTACAGAAGCGCGTCTGGAGCGGAGTCAACTCGCGACGACGGCGATGAAAGCAGTGCAAAAGCGATCGCGAATCACCAGGGTCACTCAGCAGAGCAGCGGCAGCAATAGCAGCGCCCGCAGCAGAGGCATCGGCGCCCGCGCCTGCGACGGGCGTGCATTCCATGGTCCATGATCTAGGCGGAAGTAGCGGCGCTCATCGCCCGTCTGATCCCTCGCACCTCGCAGGATGCATTCTTGGAAGGCCGGGACCTGGCACAGGTCTCGCAGGCCGGGTTCCCGGCGCATCCACGTGCCACTTCCGAATGGGCAGGGCACGAAGGAAGGTCTTTTGGGGGCAGGGCTTGGGAAACAATTGTCCTTGAGGACAGGGGGTCCCAGTTCTGTCGCCAGGGGGATGGTCGGGTTGCCAGCGCTAGAGCTCGCTCAGGCAGCCTTTGCGTACTTCTCCTCAGAGCTCAACCTCAAGGCGAGGCCGAGGGGCAGTGCTGATGGCGGCTGTGCGCTTGCCCAAGACCTGCAGCTTCGGGGCCCGGCACTACAAAGTACTACAAAGCAAAGTAGATTGCAGATATGGAGCTGAAGCACTCACCTGGCTCAAAGATGCAAGGATTTTGCAAAACGGAAACCCTAACATGGCGAAGCTCGGTCTCTGCCTTTTCAATTCCGCGGAATACATCTGCATGGGCACATCGACACTTGGGCAAACGGGTCCGACTGGATGCCGTAGGTGGGCACATGCAAGAGTTATAGACAGAACAATCTAGATCGGCTTGTATCGTACTGTCAAGCAGGAAAGGTAGTTTGCATGCCCACGTCACGACGGCAGGAGGTTGGGATCTCAAGGCTTTAAGCGTTTGCTGCTGTTTTGTCCCGCGACGAAATGAGAAGTCCCAGTGAGGCGGCCTCGAGTGCCTTGAGCTCTGGCCTCGCTTTGGGCGAAGTGGAGCTCCGGGTCAAGGCTTTGCAGCGTGAGGGCGAGGACAGCGAATTCGAGGCGGGGGAGGAGTGGAGGGGGCCCGGCCACCCTGTCAGATGACCATGTGTAAGAGTTGCTTGGGATCACCTCATATCCACCTAACGCCACTTCTAACACGCCGCCCTCGTAAACGCCTTGAAGTCTCAAATCAGATTCTGCACCTGGATGTTGAAAGTCCAGGTCTCACTCATCCCTGCAACCGCGGACGCAGAGCGTGTGGAGGAGGACGAGCTTGGAGAGATGTTCCTCAAACACCTCAAATTCATAAGCCGCGAATGATGCAGGTCCGGAGCATATAGAGCAAGCTACTGGGCCGTTTAGCCACATTATGCGTCCACTGGAGTTTGTCTTTTCGAGTCAGCAATCACCTTCATGCAAACAGGCCAAGGGTCACCTGGACTCACCAGGACTTGAAGCTGGCCAGCCAACTCGTTCGAGCACTGGATTCGGCCGTCACTCGGCCGGGCATCTTTGGAGCAATCCTTTGCTAAGAAGGGCGCCGCGGCCGTTTGCGTAGCAGCTTTGGAAGTCGTAAGCAAGTTCGAAGCTTCTGCTGATTGGGCTGAAAGCGACATGTTTTTTGTGTTGGGTGTGGGATGTTCGCATGGCACAGAGCTCTGAGGTTTGCATTCCTACCGAGGACACTGAGAAGGCTGGTTGGACAGTCCTGCTTCTCCGATAACTGAATCTTTGCGAACCTATGCCATCCACCTAGCATTCTTCTGCTCCGAAACCTGCTATCGCTATGCAAGGCTGCAGGGTTCGAGGTTTCATTCAGATTTTCGAGGCTGGGGTTGCAGCAATTGTCGAGGAAGCACCGTATCTACCGATCTGTCGACTTGTCTTCTGTTTCCCAATCTCCATTGAAAGCGGCCTGGGAAAGTTTTATCTATATTTGTAATATATAGGTTCTCACTATGACATTTGGTGACCACGAGAATCAATATGGTCTGGTCGCACGGTTCTGGTGGTCCTAGTTAAGGCAATATCGAAAACAAACCGGAGACAGAGATGTAAGTCGCAGTTGTTCTGGGGAAGGTGGCAGTAGTAGCAGAAGTACTGTCATTCAACACAACAGTAACTGCCTCAACGAGGACTAGAATCGTCAAAACCGTTACTCTGACGTTGATGAGATGAAAACCTCTCTATAGTGTAGAACTGATGCACACATGAAAGCCAGCAGCATGAGAAGGAGTTTAGCTTCTGTATGACCACGAATGTCGTTATTCATGTCATCCGTACTTGCAGTCCCTTCTGTTGCTCTTAAACGTGATCGCATCAGTCTTTTGCAGCAGCAGTTGCAGTTGCAGTGGCAGCTTCAGCAGCTGCAGCAGCAGCAGCAGTCGCTGCAGTAGTGTTTGTGATCTCTTGGGAGGTCGCTGCAGCCATCATGGCCGTGCCTGAGGTCGAGCATCGACTGGACTTGCAACTTTGCGAAGATGCGTCGCATGATCATGACAGTAATAGCACCAGCAACAGCAGCAGTCGAAGTAGCCGCAACATGCCCCCCCATTCAACCCAATTGAAATTTCTAGTTGCTAGCGGAGTCCGTCCAAATCGGCAAAGAATGCGGTGGCAACGGCAGCTCAATATGCAGGACATGTGCGTCCACGATCGGTAGTAGCTATCTGACACAATGGACCATGGATGTAGAGGCAAAAGACAGTGAACCAGTCTGCCTGCAAGACACATCTCGCAACCTGCCACCAAGGCACATCCTCTACCTTCGCACAGTGCCGGGGCTGAAGGATCCGTGGTCGTTGCTTCTCACGTTCAAGGTTGTACGAACAGTTTCCATATCTGCATGGAGGACCTTGATTAATAACTTGATGAATGTACTTGTCACTCGTTTGTTGCCGCGACATCGAAGTCAACCCCAACTCTGATCGATGGCGTGTCACGGTGCCGACACACTAGCTGCCCCAAACTGGGATCTTGGTGTTTCGAAGCGCCTTGGCCCGCAGGATTACCGTGAAACGTGCACGAAATCCTGCTCCCTCAGGTACACAACTGCTGCTTCTACAGCGGCGAGTGGCGACCTAGCTGAATTTCAAAACTGCACAGGTAGGCTTCCGAAACAGGGCTGGCACCCTCGGGTCACAGAAAGGGCTCGATGGGTGAAGAGCCCGCACTCTGCGAGTCATGGCCTCGCGAAACTCAGTCAAGGCTCAAGATTGGATGTCCAATCGCTAAAAGTTATTTAGTCCTTTGACAACCTTGCAGGCAGCCACGATGCCTTTCACAGGGCGATGCTCTGTGACTTGGGCGGGTTTTGCATTTCCGGTCAGGTGCTCCGATCCGTATGAGCTCCGTCGCCGTGCGGGAGCAGGGAGCCTCCGACAGGACTGAGGGGCTTGGGTTGAGGCAGAAGTTTCTTTGGAACTGGTAGCCAGTCGTCCAGAACGCACGAGAGAGGGTGTGCTTGTGTGTGTGTGTGTGTGCGTGCATCCGTGTGTCCATTGGTCGGTTTGCCGACACTCTCTGGCTCTGTGCGCGTAACTGCAGTCACTACCGCTATGCAAAGGCCGCAAGTGTTTGTGTCCGCCTTGCTTTGTTTTGCTTGCGTGCTACGAACAGCTGCTTGGCTCGCGAGGCGAGAGAGAACTTGGCTTTCTCCAGCTCCGCATGGATTTCAACTCACTGTGAGCCGCTTGCCGTAGAGCTGTGGCCAGCCGGCCGGCCGAAGGTGTTGACCCACGCGAGTCTTTCGGCGTTCGTGAGAGGTGTTGCGCAAATTAAGAAGCTTGCTCAGCTGCCAAGAGAACCCACAATCAGCCGCTCTTCCAGCATGTTGAGTACCGAGCTGTGCTCTGTACGGTCCTGGCACGACACTCCACTAAGTCTCCAAAGCCAAGAGCCCAAATCCCCGAGGCGCATTCGCAGCTTGATCGCCCGGGCAGCCGAAGCGGCCAAGCCGCCTCCAGCAAAGCCCTCTTCTGAAGAGGCACGGAAATTCGTATAATCTGGGGCTTGTAATCTGAGTATGAAGTTTATCCACGACAATGCTACAGAGACTCTGCAAGACCAGGGGCGTCACGCGGGTCATGAGCCCCATAGAATGTCCAGCACCATATTATGATGGCAGCATGAAGATGGTCATGAGCACACGGAATGCCCGGCGCACACTGCAACAGAGGCCTGCAGAGGCAGCTGTAAGAAACATGCGAAGCAGGGGAAGGGGGACAGGGGAGGGACACATAATAGACAGATAGGAAAAGGGCTTCTGGGTCTCTAGTGCTCTCGTGCCTCAGGAGCCCTTGAAGAGCCAGTGGCTGCAGTGCTGCGAGGCCCGGGCCCGGGGCCCTCTCTGAAGTCAGGAGCGTCCAGCTTCGACGACTCCTCGATGCTTCCCTTAAGTGGCAAAAAAAACCCAGCGAAACCTCGCTCTCTTTTGACCTTACTCGACCAAGTTTTCAGGTAAGTTTTCAGGTCCCGGTGCTTGTGCCTCTTGCCATGGTCTGCCATAAACGGACACCTTCTGTCGGAGCTTGGCGAATGTCCGGTCTCTGTGTACATGTCTTTCTGTAGCCTGCCATGGGTATCGGAAGGGTCTGCTTCTGTCTGACAGCGGTCTTTAATCAACATCCTGCATTTTCGAGACCCTCCTTGTTGCAGGAACTCACGAAGAAGGAGGCAGAGCCTTGGACCGATGGGCCAGTGCGCAAAACATCAGGGTGTGGGAATTCATCGAGCTTCTCAAGAGTCACCCCCGTTCTCCGGGCGTTTATCCTGTTTGGGTTGCCTTTACTCGTAGTGATGTCTGCGGGGCTTTCAGCTTCGGAAGCTCTTGACATCCCAGGAGGATCGCTTCCGCTGCACCCGCTGCAAGAAGCTTTTTCGTGGAGTGCCTGGGATGAACAGTGCATGAGATGCCGAAACAGAGTTGTGGGGCGCAGGTCTGAAGTTTCAGTGACGTGCGTCATGTTCGTCTCAAGGCTCTTAGGCTTTCAGCCGTTGATTGGTATTGCAGTGGGACTGGGGAAGCTGTTGCGGGGGAGCAAGCATCCGCCTGCCTCCCAGCGTCTGCTGGGTCCTTGATCACGTACTGCAGTGATGTCCCGAGGGTTCATACCTCCCAGTGTTTAGCCGCCTAGCCTGATTAACTGTAGTTTCCTGCTTGCGGTGCGGGAACCGCCCAGGTTCCCTTTGAACCTCGTTTCGACGGGAGTTCAGGCAAGCTTCCCCTCTACAAGTACGCCCTGCTCGTAATTTCAGTCGCCAGCTCCAACCGCAGAATCCGAATTCAATACTGACCCTTCCTCATGATCCTAAGGTCAACTTTTTGCAGAAACACGTCTTCAAGGTCCACCTGGAGGCCGACTGGGTTCATTTCCCGGCCAAAGGGCCAAGGAGAAGCAGGAACAATGAGAGGGCACCACGTGAAGGTGCTGGGAGTCTGTAATTTACCTGATTTAGCCACCGGCCATCGGTTCCAGCGGCTTCTGGCTGTTTAGTTGTCCATCATCATGCAATCATCCCCGTGAAGGTCTAGGGCGGAAGGAGCTCTATCTGTTTGTCTGTCTATACGCACGTACGGACCTCTATGCATAGAAAAGTCTTCGTTTAAGTGTGTGTGTGTGTATATATATATACACATGTGTGTCTTTGTGGCTGTATGCGTCTGCATTCTAATACGCAGGTGTCGATAAGTTCTTGCAGCTGGAACCGCCAATCGAGGGATGTTTCGAGGCACCGAAGGAGACGAATGGCTGCAGATTGTGGAACCTCCCAGCAGGTCATGGCCAAGGTTGAAGATGATTTCATGAACCATCAGATGAAAGAGGCACGCTGAGAGGCTGTGAGAGACAGGACAAGCCTGGTTTGGCGTTTAGTGAAGTCTAAAGTCTGCTCCACTCCTCTCCCCCCTGGCTCCCCCCTGACAGGCCTTCTCGTTCAATATCTGTCAGTCAGCAAAACGGCATGCGGCCCTGAATTCATCAGTGATATTGTTGACCCTAGAGAGACTGCAGCCAGGCCTTCTTCAGAGATGCGGCCGCGGCCTGCCAAGCACAGCGAGCGATGATCCAAAGCAGCTGAGGCAGCTTGGCTTGACTTGCTGGTACCTCACTCCATACAGCATGGAGGCTAGGTATAAACAGGAATACGATGAGGAAGACGATGAGGAGGAGCAGTAGAAGTAGGAGGAAGCGGGACTGCCAGTAGAGTAGTAGGAGGAGTAGGAGTAGGAGCAGTAGAGCCAGTAGGCGTGGACCCTAAAGAAAACCCTACCTGATCCTAAAATCTACAAGCCTATTAAACCCCTAAAGCAAGGACGTTCATAGGGCACAGTGTATCGCGACCTGCGGTCTTCAATAACCTCAGGACCTAGGAAACTGTGTTAACTCCCGAAGCACTTCCCGTGTTCTCTGTATGGCTATGCAATCTGTTTGATCCTGTGCCTGTCTCCAACTATGCATTTTTGCTTGCAAGAGAGCCAGGTGACCCTTAGAAGCGTGTGGTGATTGGTAGATCCCTGCAACTCCTGAACTCGACGGAGAATTAGCCATCAGCTCGTGGGGTGAGGCCTCAGGTGCACGTTGCCAGCATCCTCTCGATTCCGCCCGGTCCCCAAATCAGAGGGTGTAGAGGTTGCGGCTCTTGTCCAGCACATTCCGGCCGTCCCGAGCTCCCACGGCATCATCACCGTACAGAGTCGGAGCCTTCATCGATACCCCCAACCCGGCCCAACCTCCCCGGCATCCCACCTTGCTGGGTTACTTCGTTCTCAAACGGAAGCCAGTATCAAGAGAGGGCACCGACCCGAAGAACCGTGGGGTGAACCTTGAAGCTTGAAACCCTACACTTGGCTTCCCCCCAACAAAGATAAAGGCCACCTAACGAAAAATAGCAGTTACATAGCACATTGAGTATGATGCGGATGACGACGCTGCCGCTGTTTGTCGTTGTCGATTTGTTTTGTCGCTGCTGTTGTGGCTGAAGTGGTGGTTGTGGTTGTTGTGGTTGTTGTTGTTGGTGGTGGTGGTGGTGGTGGTGGTGGTGGTGTAGTTGTTATTCTTGTTGTTGCTGATG